CATTTTCTTCCATATAAAAATTTTGTCAAGCATACTTTGTATGGTAGAAAATCAAAAAAGGGGTGCGCTATTCAAATGACGAGGAATGTATATACATATGTAGTATATTTTTGTAATTTTTATACTACGCAATTATATGTAGGTAAATTTTTTGAAAAATTGTCCTGTATTTTCAAAATATGTTTATGGTCACCGTATATATACATCACTTTCCGATAGGACTGATAGTTTCTGACAAACTAATTAATCATTAGTTTTTTTATTTTTTAATGAAAAAATTAAAAAAATATCAAACTGTAACAGAAGAAAAATTAAAATAATAACAGGTTCTGTGCCAAATTTTTGCATTTGTACTAAAGACTGTTCTGTTACAAAAAAGTCAAGTTACTGATGAAGGAAATCGATGGAGAAATACGAAATAATGAGTGGTCGAATGAAAATGCGCAAAGATTTTTTGTATGAAATATGAGCAGAAAAGCGTGTTACTCAGGTGTACGTGGCGTATGAGTAACTTGCTTTCCTGCTCATTTGTCGTACAAAAATCTTTGCGTATTTTCATTTGACCACTCATAATTTCTTATTTATCCATCATATTCTTCATTAGTAATTGGAATTGTTTTTTTTGGAAAAGAAAAGGCTTTAGTACAAATACAAAAATTTGGCACAGAACCTGTCATTTTTTAAATTTTTCTTCTGTTAAAATAAATTTTTTTTAATTTTTTCATTAAAAAATAAAAAAAGCTGGAATGATTAATTAATTTGTTAGATAATATAAGCCCTATCTTAAAGTGATGTATATGCGGTTTATGGAGAAAATTATTAGCTTTCATTTGTCGTATTTTATATTAAGATTTTCAAATTGGTTCGTAAGATATACGTGATTAAAAGGAACCAATTTTTGCTTTAAGCTGAATAACGGTAAATTGAAAATATCTTGAAAACGTATCCATAGAAAAAAAATTAACTCGATTTTCGGAATGACCTAGCAATTCTACATAGGAGTTGGATAGTGACATCCACAAAACATTTTTGCTGTAAACCAGTGCAATTTTTGGAGCTAATCAAATTTTTTAAATTTCAAGCCCCTTAAGAAAATCCTGACGCCAAAGAAAGAAACTAAGAGGCTAACCTCATATTCACGCACGCCGCCAATTTACTGTCAAAAATGTCTCATGCACATACAACTTGTATGGGACCAACCGAAATTGAACCGTGTGCATATGAAGCTAACTCAATTTCCAATTTTTGTTCTGCGTGACATTTTGATTTAACGTTTCGCTCAATGAAATCAAATGCAAACGCACGTCAGTGTTGCCACAAAAAAATTACCAAATTCCTCAAAAACAAACGAAAAATTCTCAAAATCCGAACAAATTACTCAAAATTGTCTTATTACAGATATGAGTATTGTGTACTGCATTCTATTTACAGGTACTTAGTACAAAAATTAATTACATTCTCCAATTCAATTGGTACATTTGTTCTTGCGGTTCAAACAAAGTATCACCGTTATTTTGTATGCCTTGGTTTGTATATACTATTGCTGCAACCATATCAGTGCTCAATGTGGTTCTCAAGTCAGTCGTACACATTTTTAAACTACTAAATATACGTTCTACTGAAGCATTAGAAAAGGGCCATATTATTAATGTAGATTTAATTTTTTTAATTGGGAAACTTATATGAACCTGAAGAAACTTTTTAATTCAAAACCTTTTCCTACAATTTTCTGGATCTAATGAGGAATCAATATGAGTATCCTTATGATCGAACAATGCGTGTTCTCTCCATTCCTTACCGGACATTTTGCAAGTTTAAAATAACTTGAAAATATAACAATGGAATGAAAAAAAATTATTGATAACATTTTGAATATTTAGCAGCAAATGCAGATGTGCTTAAGAGCGAAAAACACCACACAAGTGGCTTGACAAACCAAGCGAAATATCCCTTTCCTTAAAGCTATTTATGTTGTGTATGGGGCCGTTTGAAGGTTTGACGGCTTGTTTGAGGAAAATGTGAACAAAAATCAAAATTTTTTGATTTTCTGCCCGCCATGTTGAAGTTTGATCAAATCGCTTAAAACTAAAATTCTTTGCTAGAACGAGTCATGTTTGCATTGTGTATGGCGAAATGGGAAAAGTAGGTTTGAAGAATGTTTGACAAGCCACTTGTGTGGTGTATTTTGCTCTTTATAAAACTTCGGAAAGCTTTTTGTCAAAAATTTGCAGAGCGATGTAACAACTCTCTTGTGTAAAATATTGCTGCATTTTTTATCTGCAAATATATCGAGAGAAAATTCCTCAAAATAAAAATCCTCAAAAAATACTCAAGCGCACCCGAAACTTTCCTCACGTTTTGAGGAATTACTCACAAAGTGGCAACACTGACGCACGCAAGCTAAATTCGGGTGACGCAAAAATAACAAATTCGACTGCAAAACGCAAGCTGCGAAGATTAGGTTAACCTGTAAAAACGCAGTTTTACTACATGTAGCTCTTAGTTTTTGGAATATGTATATTTTTGTGCAAAATTGATTTTTGCTCGGTGTACTCCATGTTTATCATTTACTTGATTTTTTGAGTGACTTATGTCACTGTCAAAATAAACATTTTCGTTATACCGCTGATTAATAAAACTTTTCACGAACAAGACCTCAGTAGTTCTCAACATTTGAGTGCACATTTTTTTTTAATTAACAGATACCGTTAAATTCTAATTGGTGTTATCATTAACTCGTTTTTTTTTGGAAAAGGTCACTTATGCCACTTTCAAAATAAACGGCTCATGTACTAACCTTATATCATTAACACCATTATGGTGCAAATTGAGTTCAAAAAGTACTGGTAATTTTCCAAAAGCACTTTTCTCCAAACTTGTTAGGTTGTTTTCCTAAAAAAAAAAGCGGTGAGAATTTAACATCAGTGCAAAACGACGGATGTTCCTTAAAAACATGTACATATATTATTTACCTCAAGGTGCAAATACTGAAGTGTTGACATACCGGCCAGGCATTCGATGGGTGGCTGACTGATGTTATTTTTGTTAAGGTACAATTTTTGCAGCACCAGCAGACCTGTGAAGCTTTGTGCAGTTAAGGAATCTCCAATTTGATTGTCATTTAGGTTTAGGAACAGCAACGAATTCATAACCGGCCATGTACCTGCTGGTATTCCTGTTAAGTGATTCCTTTCTAAATTCAAGTCATTTAGGGAAATTGGAATTTGAAATAGCTTTCCTAACTGATTATTGCTGAGATCCAAAAAACGTAGACTTGTAAGTTTAGCCAGTGCTCCTCGCACAATAGATGTCAACTTATTATGACTGAGATTCATATCGAGCAAAGTGGGGAGTGTACCAAAAACTGAGGACTTAATTTCGGTTAGACTATTATGGCTAAGATTTAAAAAGCGTAGGGAAAAGAGTGTCTGAAAGACGCCATTGGCAATCAGCGAAATGTTGTTGTGCGAAATATCAATAGTGTGTAATTCGTATAGCTTTGGAAAACAGTTCTTTGGCACCTCTGCTATGTAGTTGTGCGACGCATTTATAACTTTGATTCCCGTCATATTTTGAAAGGGTATCTGAAACGTATGAAATTAAAATGGTTTATTAAAAATATCACAATTATTTGATAGTCTCTCACCTGCGCTAAATTTGTGAGAAAATTGTAGCTCAACTGAAAATCGGTAGCGAAAGTCGTAATATCAAATGCATTGCGCGAAAAGTTTGCTAGTCTATTGAACGACAAGTCCAAAACTGTGATGTTTACGCAATTCTCAAATGCGTACTGTTCTATTTTTTCCAAAGAGTTGTGTGAAATATTAATAGTCGCTTGGTATATGTCCTTAAAGGAATGCTTTTCAACCACTGTTATATTATTTTCAGCCAAATCAATTAACTAAAAGATAAGAGTGATTATACATATACGCTATACTTTGCTATCTTTTTAATTTTACACTTTTACCTCGACATAATTGAGTTGAGAAAACATTTGAAAATCAACTTTCTTTAAAAAGTTCCTAGCTAAATCAATTGTACCGATTTTTCCGATAGAGCCAAAAGTTCCTCTGCCGACATCAATAATTTTGTTATCGCTCAAAAAGAGACGCCTGTAAAATGTTTAAAAGTAAAAAAAATTAACTGGTATTATTCCTAGATATTATCCTTAGCTTTTAAGTACGTATATGTAAAATTCCTTAGCCTTTATTGGATCTAAATGTATGTACATATGTATGCTTCAAGCTGTTATCACAGTTGTTTTCGAAATCTTGAATTTTCAGGTATCGAATGAGCCTTGACTTTGCTACTCTTATCTAGTGCAAATACTAGTTTATTTATAAAAAAGTATTTTAAAATTCACTTTAATTCCATTCTAATTTTTTAAAACATTCGCTAAATAATGCTCACTCAGAAAAAATTCAGCTAAATTTCTATTTCTCTTAACACATGATTTGGTAACTATAACCAAATAATACGTGCATTCTTTTGCAACCGAGTTACAAAAGAACACTTGCATAAATGACGAAATACATGCAAAGAGTAGTGATAGAACGATACGAGTACCGAGTACAGAATATCGATACTTTTCATGAGTACTGAGTAGTATCGAGAACTCGATACTTTTTGACAAGTACTGAGTAAATATCGCGAATGCCGAAAAGTATCGACGAGTTAAGAACTGTTTTAAGTATTTTTTTGTTCTTTAATTACCCAATAAATATTGTGACGAACGTTCGAAAGTTAATTTCAAAATCCAATATGAATGTTATGAAAATGAACATAAAGCTCATTTACTTCAATACTGTCATAACTCAAAAAACCGAAACCCCGAGAAAAATGCGTATAAAGTTTTAATTTTACATATTGTCACCCTCATGCCAGAAGCATGAGTTGACTTGGTTAGCCTTTTGATGTTCTACGTTATACCAAAACCCAGAATACCATGCGTACACGGAAAGCACATATCGACCCCTTTGCGCAAAATTATCGTATGTTACAAAAACAAAATTTTACAGGAAAGTATTTGTTGTATTTTTCTCTGCTTTGGCTATCACCATCAATACCAAAGTTTAGATTTGCCGAGATAATTGAGAAATATAACTAAACGCAAGATATTTTGTAGAAAGGTCTCTACATTCTAATTTCTTAGCACATATGATAATTTTGCCCACAAGAAAAAAATCATTGCCACATACGATAAAATTTACAGTCAATTTTTGGGGTACACAGTCAAAAATTAGGGTTTAATTTTTATACCGCACTGGGACTACTGCCGTTTTTAATCTTTCACAGTCTAATTAGTAAACCAGTCAATAGTTTTAAGCAATTTTTAATATATTCTGGTTTAAATTTTAGTCCAAAAAGTTCGTGGTTTAAAAATCAAACCAAAATGTTTTAATTCTAGTTTCTAGGTTTCATATATAGAAAATTTGGTTTAAAATCTAAACCGAAATAGAAAATGTTTGCACACAGGGAAATGTGGTGCTGGTTCAAAGTCAACATATGAAAGCACATTTACATGCGTTTGGTAGCCACGCCGTCCGGCCTCAATCCCGATCCGACGGAGCATGAAATTTAAGATGTTGTTAAAATGATATGTCCAACTTTGACTTTTTAAACAATTTAATTCTTGTAAAAATTACATACCATGGAACTAAATATTTTTTTAATAAAGTTTTTCTTTATTTGTTTATGTGTTTAAATAATGCTACGATTTTGTTTTTAAACTATGTATAATTCATTAAATGTTGTTATTCAAGTATTTATGTAAGTTAACAAGAAGATGTAACTACATCAGTAATTATGTTGGCTTAAGTACCCGCATCGAGGTACTTAAGCGGGTTATTTTAAGTACCCAACCCGCCTAAGTACTTCAAAAAGCTGACATTTATCGTGAGGTACTTAAGCGGGTTTTACTGTAGTCCAAAAAGTTTAAAATTAAAACCGAATTTTTTAACCGTGTAGCTATTGTGATTTAAGCGGTAATATTTGAACTGGCGATGCGTTATAGGTTGTAAAACAAAGTTGCATCAAAAAGTCAATTTCGTAAAAAATGTAACATACGATAATTTTGCGCAAAGGGGTCGATATTATTTTACAATTTCAATTGCATAATAAGATAACTTGATTTCCCAAAACTTTCATTTCTACATATTCATGTTTGTGGCATACGGGCGACGATATGTATACTCCTATACTAATAATTAATACATATTTTGTTTTAGGATACTGGTAATTGACTGAGTTATAAAATTGTTACACAACCTAGAAGAAAATGTGGCGGTCATTTCAACGCTGGCTTAGGCTAAAAGTATTTAAATAATTGAAAAACGAATGTCTTGCTTCACCTTTGATAATGAATGGTGGAAGAGGGTGGTATTCCGACTCGAGAACTTGGCCACTCTCCAGCATAAGGCAGCCGTCGTTAGCACATGTATTTTTACGAAAAAGAGCTTATCTTTCCAACAGAGAATGGGCTTCATCCCATTTGCTTCTCGTCTTCTACATTTGCATTTAATTTTCAAAGTAAAGTTATTTATAAATACATATACGCGTCAAACAATCACAAAATATTTGCTTTTAAAAACTTTAAATAAGCTTTTTGCTATACACATTTAATTTACGCATGTAAAACTAATCTTATTGGAAGTTTATTCCAAAAACTCCCTTAGATCAGATTAAAACTATTAAAAGCAGCCACTATTCAATTTACAAATAGGAAGAGGTGAAAAAGCAAAGCAATCTGATTTTTGTTTACTTTTTGCTTGCAAGTACGAGTATTATCGATACTTTTATAAAAGTTCTATCACTAGCAAAGAGACAACACAAACTCGGCTATTTATCCGAGTTCAGGCAGGTCTCAGACAAAGTAAAATCCTATAAAGTCAGATTGAAAAAAATGTTTTTATGAATTTTGAATCACATGTTTATATTTTTCGGCATAATAGTACCTTAAAAGAGAGCCTACCTGAGTTGTCAATCACACCTTGGGCAGGTCGATAAAAAAAAATAAGCGACCTGAAGGGTAGTGTTGTTAAGTGTAAAAACCAGGACTGCAAACGTTCCCTGTTTATTACTTATTCTTTTGGGGAACATTCCGAAATTCTCAGTGTACTCTTATCTTTCGATATTAAAAATGCTTAATAATACTAATAGATTGGCGCTTACACATATGTTAGTGTTTGGCCGAGCTTCTCCTCCGATTTGTGGCGTACGCCTTGATGCTGTCACACAAAGCGGAGGGACCTACAGTTTTACGCCGACTCCGAACGACGATTGTATTTTTATGAGAAGCTGTTTTTCTTGGCAGAAATACACTCGGAGGTTTGCCATTGCCTGCCGCGAGACGACCGCTGTTAAGAAAAAACTTTTTCCATATTTTTGTTGCGATGTTGCTTTGGCCAGGGCTTGAACCCAGGCGTTGCGGAGTAGAAGCGCGCACTGCTTATCACTACTCCACAGCGGCCGACTTAAAAATGCTTACTTAATCATTAAAAAAGCCCGGGTTCCTGTTGGAATTTCAACGAAATTGGGCCGTGGAGCGTTAGACTCAGCGAAATCACGACGGCATGCATTTTTAATATATTTATAGGAAGGGTAAAGGAATGGTAAATAAATACAAGGAAATACATCCATATGTAAGCATTTTTCTAATTGAATTACGGAGAGTTGGAATTGAAAAGTATTAAATTTTCCTTTTAATGTGACTACAACCTAACAAATTTTGAAACATCGGAAACCATCGATATATCGGTGTTTTTCTGGCGATGTATTTTATCATCGATGTTCATTTTTCCGATGCATCGAAACATCGATGTTACTCCCCAAAATTTGAATACCTAAATACCACTAATGTACTGAATATTTTACAGACACAACCCTGCATGTAACAGTTCCATAGCTCACTGAGCACATGTGTGTTTCACACGTATACGAAGAGCGGCAGCCGAGCATTGCATTTAACGCACATAGTCGACCGCTGTTAAGAAAAAACCTTTTTAACCGACTTCCAAAAAAGGAGGAGGTTATCAGTTCGTCGGAATATTTTTTTTTTTTTGTTTTTTTTTTTTTATGTATGTTACCGCATAACTTTGGACCACGTCAACCGATTTCGATAATTTTTTGCATCGGAAAGGTAGTGTCTCAGAGGTGGTACCATACTAATCTGGTTAAGATCCGATCAGCGGATCATGAGATATATATATATATATTTTTTTTTATATGGGAGTTGAAGTCGGTTTTTTTTTTGCTAAAAATTACTAGTTTTTATATTTTTTGCGATGTTGCTTTGACCAGGGCTTGAACCCAGGCGTTGCGGAGTGGAAGCGCGCACTGCTTACCACTACACCACAGCGGCCGACATGAGTAAGTTAAATATAAGCTATGAGTAAGTTAAATAAACAACAAATAATGTGTAAAATGACCGGGTTTTTGAAAAGTTTTTCATTAGGGTTTTTGTCAATGTCAGAAGAACTAAACAGTGTGAGAATGGGGTCGGAAAAAAACGGGAAATCAGTCCAGTGCCTCCGTCTTGACCTGCCTGCTGTGTCGGAGCTGCAGCCACTAAACTTAAACGACATACGTGATATTATTAAAATCATATTCAAGTTAAAAGCGGTACATGAAATATTCGTTTGGATTGCATTGAATTGAATTTAATAAATCAATATGAAATGCAAAATATTAATACTTACTTAAGCTCTACCCAGAATTGCAGCGTACGACGATAAAGCGGTCCACGGTTAACCGCTGTCAAAATTAAAACTCACAAAGGCACATGGAATGGCTCATGATTGCGGCGGAAGCGCTTTTACCGCCGACTAGTAATGTTAATCCCGGGTTCCCGGACTTTTTAAAGTCTCGAAAATCCCGAAATGCTCGGGCAAGTAATCCCGGGATTTTCGGGATTTGTAATTTGTACTGATGGCAATAATAGAAACTCCTTTTCTTGACCAGTATTGGCTACTTTTCTTTTTTTATTTACTAATTAATATTTTTTATAAATGTCTAGTTCATAATGCATATAACACCGCGCGATAGTAAATTTTAAACACAAATTTCAATATATTCGCGAAACCCTGGGCCAAATATAGTAAAATTGCGTTTGTAGTTTTTCACTC